CTTTGAATTTTGTTTTCACTTTTTTTGTTTGACTTTTTTGTAAAAGCCGTTACATTCAGTGATCTGATTGAGATTTGTATCCTCAGCGCGTGGAGTTGCTTCAGTGTGAAGCATTGTGAGGAGATTTTCAAATGTTAATAAAGTGTTATTTTTTCTAGTAAGTGCACGCTAATACATAGTGTCATCTTTTGAGGTGGTGCAAATGGTGAAATGTTCTGACCGAAGGTGATGGGGCGATTCTGTGTTACGCATTTGAAGTCTGCTTGAACATTCATAATGTACTCTACAGCTGACGATTTTCTAAAGTAATACAAAAGCTTGAGTGGAATCTCGTTGGTGAACTTCTTGATCAATGGTGCATATTAGTTTTAACAGAGGTATTTACTTTGTACTGCTATAACATTTCTTTAACTATAATTTTTTCAAAGAACAGGCAAGTTTTTTTCACATAGGCACATCACCAATGCGAAGCTGGTTCATTGGTAATACGTGTTACCAATGACCAGATGTGTTAGGTACGCTAGGTAGATAGATTCGGGCAATAGGGTCTCGAGATACTTACCACACACGCATTTTCTCAAACCAGATTTACCTTAAATACTTTATTTGAGGTGAACTATATGATGTAGTAATTCGAGATCTTTCAAAGCTAATCAACATTTCAATAAAGGGGGAACGAATCTTTCTGCCTCATATAAAATACTACAGACAATCTTGCTTCTGTTTTATTAAGGGAAAAACCAGAAGAAACGAAAACAGAACAAGCTATACAACTATAAAGTAACTTCATAGATATGATGGAGGAAGAAAAGCGTGAGATTTTCACACACAAAATAAGTGAAATCAGGATGGGCAAAGCAACCTAGGGTGCAGTAGCGCCATGAGCAGAAACAATAATTTGATATATGGTCTACATGCTATAAGGCATCTGTGCTCCTCTATATGGTCTTCTACATCAGGCAAAGGCTTAAAGCTGTAATTGCAATTATAGATCATGCAGAAGATGACACTGATATGTGATATGCAATTTATGATATTACATGTATGAGATCAGACTCCAAGCTCATGGATTTCTAAATCAGCGATAAAAGGGATGAACGATGGCCATCTCATCTCGGAGAAGTCGTCGGCATCTCCTCACTGGCGTCGCACTCATGGAATGTAATATGCAAGTTCGTATAAATTCATCTAATTAATTTAAAATGATTATATTCTCTGGAAGTTTTTGGGCTTTCTTAAAGGTACCAGACAATTTTTTGAGAAAGAAAAAAACCTTGGAGATAAAACTTAATGCATAGTCACCTTTTTAGTCTGTCTTCCAATTATTCCATCTTGACTGAACAGACGTTGCCAGATAACTTCATGCACTTTCTGGGTCCTTAGTGAGTCTTCGGCACTCAAATTCTGAATCTTCTGGTCTTCGGAGCCGTCCTCATTCTGCGCACAGCTTAGGTCCGGAAAAGCTCGTCCGCTCATGCAAGCTGTCAGCACCGTGTATGAATCTGAATGCGCGAAAATTAGAAAATAAAAAATAGACTGAAAGGCGGGGATTACTTTTCATGAGATCAGAGGCTAGATATGGCATCATTCCAGCTTTTTTGTTTCGAGTAGCCTGAAAGAAAAAGCTTCAAAGATCTGTGTAGGTATAAGCTCCTCCTGACGAGGCGGTCGACTCAACGTGCGACGCGGCTGCGACTCGCGTGTCCGAGTATTTCTCATCACTGGAGGTCATACGCGCACACGCCTCGCGTCCATGGACGACCGCCTTCGTTTTGGAGTAGCCTATATCTTAAGAAAATGTAATCACAGCAAAACTTTTATTATTTCACCTTCTAGCCACTATGATACCCACCTCATGTTTACGAACACTACGTTCAGTATGGAGCTTGCTTGACGTCTCGTTTTCCGCAAACTGCTGTCCAGAAGATTCCTGACATTCTGTAGATGTGACTTCTGCGAGACCGCTATCCAACAGAATACTTCGTTTGAAGTGAAGTATAAACTCCGGTTTTACGATTTCATACTCAACACCCTCTGGACCTCTGATCACCTTCAATTTCAACGGTGGCACCTTTCTTTCAGTCGACGACTCGACTTGCTCGCTTGTATGTGGCTTTCCCAGAACTTCCTCTTCTTCTCGCAGCAAAGCTCTGGCCCTTTCAAGGACTTCTTTGAACATCATCCGCTGTTTTTCTAACTTTTCTCGCAACTCATTCAATTTGGGTGAATCCTTCTTAGGAACAATTTCTTTTTCAATCTTTGCTGTGTCAGTAATAGTGTCGTCTCTGATTTTCTTTTTTTGC